AAATTCGAAAAACCGAAATAGCAGTTTTGTAGCCCTTAAGATTCCACACCTTTTATGTCTGAAACATTTTTCTGTATCTCTAAAGCTGTAGGCCTGACAGCTCTTCCCGCGAAACCTTTTTTTGGGTCGAAAATGGCAAAAATGACGTCACTCTGACGTCATTAGCGGCCAACCTATCATAGCCTTTGGAAAAAAATTTTTGGTCACCATGTGCGCTAGTTGCTCCCGGGAGGGTACTGAAAGTTAGGTGACGATCGGCGCAGCGGTTCTCGAGATATATTGAAAAAACTAAAGGGGGGGGGGGGCAAAAAAATGCCCCCCCCCCCACCGCCTGGAAGGTTAAGGTGTTAGGTGCAGTATTCAGCGCGGTACGTGATTGTGAGGACGACAACATGCAAAAGGTGACTTTAAAAATACAGAACACCCTTAATCAATGGTCACAGCGCGATTTGACGATCAAGGGAAGGATAGTAATAGCTAAGTCTCTTGTCATATCACAGATGATTTATATAATGTCGGCTATTCGCGTAAAGAAAAAGCATTTGCAAGCCATCCAGACAAAAATTATGAAATTTTTGTGGAGAGGTAGGCCACCGAAAGTAGCTAGGGACACGCTATTCCAAAATACGGAGATGGGATGACTTAGTGCGCCAAACGTCTTAGCTATACACAGGGCTATGAGAGCCTCATGGGTCGGAATACGAGTATATATTCCCGACCGGGGCTGAGAAAATGCGTTTTATTCACTGAGGTTTTTGTGCGGAGGACCGAGTGCCGGTAGGCACGAGGTCCGTAGCAAAAAACCGAGGTGAATAAAACCGGCCCCCGGTCAACAGATCTGGCAGCACAAATCTAGTCGAATACAAAATTTCTGCTAGGTCCATAGACTGTAATGTTAAATCGGCCATATTTAAGGCTTATTTGTAGATAATTGCAAAGGGATAATGGAAAAAAACGAGATGCTATCTTATTGGAAATTTCATCTTCAGTTTCCCACTTTTGAAGTGTTTTTCGATTCGACGAACGCAAATCATGTTCCCAAGAGGCTGAAGGTACCTAACCGTGTTTCACATTAAACCGAATGGCAAAAATCGATTTTTTGGCGAAATTGGCCATATTCAAGAACGAATCATTAGGAATCTAGACAGGAATAAGAAAATCTCGAGATGCTATCTTGTAGGAAATTCCATCTTCTATTTCCGACTTTTGAAGTGTTTTTCGATTTGAGGTACGCAAATCGTGTTCCCAAGAAAGGAAGTTAACCATGTTCTACAGTGAGTCAATGACATATTTCTAATTTTTTAGGGATTATTTCTTTGCTAATATTTGTCAAACAGTTCAGTGCGATAGTCCATTGCAAAGCTGATCACTGCCTCTGACATCGGTCTCTATATTCTTTTTTGATTGCATAGCGGGAAATCCTGTTCCCAAGCAACTGAATGTTAGCCTCTTTCCTCTTGCTGGGTTCGAATCCCACTTCAAAATCTTTGAACTGTGTGTGATATGAAACGGTGATTAAGATAAGATCTAACAAAAAGGGAGGCTAAGTTTAGACTCAAGGAATGCGAATAGTTAGGTATCAATTTGCATTCCACATTTCTTTATGGGGAATATTTGTTTTGGATCCCTAAATAGCTGTTCCTGGCACCTAATTGCTGACTAGCACCAAAAAGCTTACTAAACCCTAATAACTGAATCTGGCACTAAAATGCTGACAAGTAGCCTTATGTTGCCAGATTGTCTAGTCGGAGTGGTTGCTGAATTGGCACCAGAATTGCAATATTCAGCACCTATATCCCTTCGCCTTTACCTAGCCTATTTGTGGCCCTTTTCTCAGATTCGTTTAACCATATCAGACATAAAATTTACATTACATTCATGACACGCTTTTGACAATGGAAAACATAACATTTGCGGCCCAAGGGGCATACGCAGGCGAACATATGACCAGAAAAGTCGGAGTTTCTTAAAACAAGCGGGTATCTGGACAAGTTTTCGTCTGGCATTTTCCTTTTTTACGCAGAACTACACATCTTTGTCCGTAGATTTTATCCGTGCGGTAGTCGATTACACGCGATATCCGTCTATCTGTAAAGCTCTGATGCCCGTGTTGGCACACGGCGGCCCCGCGCCTGAACCCAACTGGCTGTGCCCGCCGCCGGTGTCGAACTCCGGCCTGCGGCCATCCGAACACGCAGTATCACATCTCCGGCCATCGAATCGGCAGCTCCATCTCTGGCCCAGCTCCAAATGCAGCCCCCAGCCCAAACACATACACACACGCTTGCTACACTTCGTATCGTTTCGCACGTCTCTCTACGCCCAATCCACGCGGCCCTCTCTCGACTCTTCCTCACGTGGGATCTGCCGGCCGGCCGGCCAGACAGGGCGAATTCTCTTCTGCTACGTGCTGTCAGCAGAGTTGGCCTACGTTACGTTATTTTGAAGTTTTCGGTAACCCGTAGCTGTCAGTACCGTTTCGTAGCGTAGTTGGGATGTTTCGGTAGCGTAGTACGGAAAATAATAGAATAACGTAGGAACTACGAAATGGATTCCGTAGCAATTACAGATCAGCTGTATTTGTATAAGGTACATAATTTTTTTTTCAGTTTACTCATATCGTCACCAGACCTCCGGCCGTTTACACGGATGTGAGACGCCTGCTATATGAATACCACGTCTTTCTTCCGGCCGGACCGACACCGGGGATTTCCCACTGGGGAGTCCCTGGGAATTCCCTGTCGGAAGTCCAGCGCATCTAGCGAGTAGCGCGTAGGCACCGCCGCACCGACGATGCTGCAAAGCCGGCGATCATTGTGCGCAGTATTTGGCTTACTAGAGACTAACCGTTTCCACTGGGTAGTGGATGATGAGATGATGACATATTGCATAACGTAGTACGATAAAATAATTTGCTGCGTTAATTAACAAATACCGTAATTCAGTAACGTAGCAATATATAACGTATCGTAATTCGGTATCGTAGTTTTGGCCAGAAAAGCAAACGTAGCGTAACGTAGTGCGTAACGTAGCGTAGCGCAGGCCAACTCTGGCTGTCAGCCGCCGGGCTCATCCAGCCAGCGTGTCTGAGTCATGCCTTGGAATAAAACTGGACTGGCAACTATATAAACTAGATGTCATGGAATATTATGCCAAATAGCTGTTGTTGTTGTTGTCGGTCCCCGCAGCCGCGGCGAAGCCGCGGTGTAGCCTTAGTGGCTCTGGAGGGCCCTGAAGCTCTCTGGTGGAGACCGCCTCCTCGAGGTGGAGAGTGGAGACGGCGGAGGCTCATCCCGACGCCGTCGCCGAGCTGGTGCCCCCGGCCCGGTACATCAAAACGGTCTCCAAAAGTGCCCCCTCCGAGGGGTGCTCCTGGCGGCGGCTACCACTACCGGCTGCCGCTGCATCGCTGCGCCAACCTCTTATGCCAAATAGCTCGACTCGACAGTGCTGCCACCTACTTTCCTCCTAGATAGGTGCTACGTTCAGCATTTAGAGCAAGCAATACCGAAGAATTAGTGCCAGAAACAGCTAAATTAGGTCAACTTTGGCCGTAGGTGCTGGATATCGCCAAATAGGTGCTGGCGACCAAGTTTAGGCTGGAAGAGCTATTTAGTGCCAGAAATAGCTTTTTTAGGACGCGATTAAATGGCGTCCTTTCTTTATTACTATGTACACGATTACATGACCACGTGATATTTAACCCTCGCCGGCACAGGGGGGGGGGGGGGTGATGCAACCCCCTCCCCTAAGGGTTTTCGCGAATAACTCGCGTAAAAATCGGCCGATCGCGACCAAACCTTGAGTACCCTCGCAGTGATCAATTTTACACCTACCCTAAAAATTTCATGACCCTGACCCAAATAACCTTTGACCTGTGAACTACTTTCGGGACCATGTTTGGCCGGAATCGCGATTCGGCGTATGTCGGCTCGCATTAGCCGCGCGTTTGCAAGCTTTTCGTGATTTCAAACGTTCAAACATGTGATTTGATGTTGCTCCCATGCATTAGGGTGGATGTCAAGATCACCTGAAGGTCAGGTCAGGGCATTGACCTTTGGTGACCTCGGTTCACTTTTTCGAGTTTTACATGTTTCTAGGCTAGTTTTCTTAGCTGATTTCGAACTTAGCAACCATTTGAACATTTACGAAGTAGTTTTGGTGCCTTCGTAACATGTTGCGAAGCTGTCAGAGGCGGTTGACACGTATTGCGAATACCCGTCACGACCCCTACCGGTTGACCTGACCTGACCTGACCCGACCTGGTCTAAATACTTAAGGATCAAAACTGTGATCAAGGATCATCTGTGATCAAAACTAACACGATATTCGTGAGCAGCACCCCCGAAAACCCCATAGCAACCACACTTTGCGACTTTCTAACATGTCCCGATTTTCCGATTTTCGGGTCATTGACCTGACCTGGAAGGTCACCCTATGACCTAGGACCTTAAAATTGGATATCATCGGCTTCCTCTCGTGACGGGCAACACGCTCGTTTTTTCTGCGAAGCTCTAGCTCGATCAGGGGCCAAACGCGATGGGGGGGGGGGGGTCGTACAAACCCCCCCCCCTCGTGCCGTCGAAAGATGCAAAATGGCCTGTGCCGGCGAGGGTTATAAAATCGTTTGAGATTAGAGACACTAATATGTGCAATGTGCATATAGGTACTCATTGCAGTGCTGATTGTATAATGCGTTCCTTTAGACGTTGATGTAATTTTCTTTGGCGAAAAGTTAAGATCGTTACTAGTATTACTACAAAGGAGATTTTATTCTCCAAGTGGTACCGCACTTTCGTCTTTCACTTACAGGACATATATTTTCATTTTAGTCTTAATTGTGCAAGGTGTTCTTAAAAAGAAAACCATCACAAACATATTATGTGTTGAATACACCGTCTCATCAATTGATACGACCAATATGCAATATACATAGGTACATACATCTTTATGACGTATGTGCAGTGCTCGTCTCTGTTGGTCCAAGCGAAATAGTTTAATACATAGGTATATTCATATGTATTGTGCGCCACTGCCAAACCGATAACCACGATAATGTCGACAGATGCGACGCGTCACCCAACTTTGGGACAACAACGCCATAATTGTTTGAGAAATGCTGAAATTATCAGGTCACATAATGTATCACATGACATGAACGATTCACACCGGATCAGGTACACATTGAACAACAGCCTTCAGGGTCGAAGGTGACATAATCGGCTCAAACAACTGGTTACGCGTTCGCACGCATGCCTGTCAGGCCGTGCCCCACAGACCCACAGCTGAAGCACAGTGCAGTGGCCAGGGGAGACGCCAGGCAGACACACCCAGCTGTGGCGCTAGCAAGGTGTGTATTGTTTTCGCTTCCGGCTCTCCCGGTACGCTCCCCCCCCCCCCCCAGCACGGCGCAGGTTAATAAAACATTAGTTATTTGAGGAAAATATGTATTATTCCACCTTTTGCAATACAAAAGTTCGCATTTAAGATGAGAATGAACCTGATTAAAAGGCACAAAGTTGTATTGATCATTTAGTAACATTTTCAAACGTTTCTTCTCTTAACAGAAACATCATCAGTGATTCAATAAATCGTTACATTTCGATACATAGTAACAAGCAATCAGCGCGGTGAGCGAGTGGCACAGTATCGCAAGTCTAATTCAAAAATTCACAAATCACCTAGGGGGTCACTATGCTCTCAAGAGCTTAGTTTTTAAGATAGATACGATTTTTTTGCATGAGGGGACTCAGAATGAACAGGGCTATCAAGCTGCTATCTCGGATTATCAAAATTTTGAAAATTTAGAAAGTATACATTTAACTATCAAAATATATTTTTCCCCAATTTTTTTTTTTCAAAAAAGTTTTTGATTTTTTCGAAAAAAAAACGGAATATATGTGATAGAACACATACCGGTGACCTACTCTAGGAAGTTTTGGCCCGCTATCATCAAAAATAGCCAAGGTATACGCTTTATAGAAAAAAAAATATGTCATTATCAAATTTTCCAATCATTTTTTTTTTTGTACGTTTTTGACATCGTACACTTAAATAAATAGCACCATCGTGTTCCTGAGCTCAAGCTGCATCTGATAGATACCTTTTTTGTTGAACAATTTCAACTTCAAAATTTGACCTTTTTTACCTGAAAATGACCTGACCTCAGCTTTTTTTGGCTGAAAATGGCCTGATATGACACAGACGACACTGATTTCGAAATCTATGGCCTAACTATGGACCATACAACATGTGTCACGTGACCGATTAAATAGAATATTTCCATGACCCAGGATGACCTGCCCGTGACCTGAAAAATTCGAAGTAAAAGTTTGGTACCCTCAGGGTATCTTAGACATATATTCATATATTCATGAGTGTGTAAACCAAAAATGAGCCTGATCCGACTTTTGAGCCGGCGGCCAGAGCTCAAGTAGTTAACAAGCCAAAACGTCGATAACTTTTACTTTGACCTGACTTGTGAAGTCATCGGTGACCTCAAGGTAAATAAAATTCGACAGTTTTTCCAGGACTATCAGACGCCGTTTGAATTTTGACAATCGGCCCAGTAGTTTCGGAGTTAGGAGGGGGGGGTCTATAAATAGCCCCCCCCCCCAGTGGGGCGCGTTATAAAAAGACCCCAGTGGGGCGCGGGGTAATTCGTCCCATATTCCGGGAAAACATTGAAAAATGATGAGACCTCCACCCAAATATTTGGCAAAAGTCTTAAAAATTTGAAATCAACTACGCAATATGCTAATAAATGCAGAAAACAGCAACAAACACATGTTTTACTCGCCACTACCCTCCCGGGACCGCCATACTCCTTCCCGACAATTCCGCACTGTAAACAAAGTCTGCCGGTATCAAACAAGCATGGCCCGTCACTAAAGTACTTTTAAGAATATTTACTTTTCGTTTTTGATGCTTTTTGCTTACAAAATGTCTGATAAGGTGTTATAAAACCATCGTTTTTCGGTAATTTTTTTGTCAATTTTCCACGACTCATTACCTACTTATGGCGAATTGAAAGCGACCAGGGGCGATAGTCGCATTTGCCTCAAGTTCGGTGGAAATCGGTAAGTCCCAACATATTCGCAACATTTTCTATATTTGGGTACGATTATCAGCGTACCCATTTTTGAAATATGCGTACCCATATATCGAAAATCCTTTCAAAAATGGAAGGCTTCCAAAAATGGAAGATTTGAACACAGTTTCCCCAACTGATATGGTCTGGGAGCCAGTACTGGCGAAATTATATTGATATTGCGCCGGTATAGAAGGCAAAATGAAGGTTGTGGGAGGGTGTGACATTACTTTTGAGACACCCTGTGCTGTATGCAGCCGGTATACTGAGGTTTATGCATGGGGCTGATACAATTTTTAACATTATTCAGCACACAATTTATTTGTGTCGCTGAAGTAGAAGGGGGCATTACGCTGAAGTGCGGCATTACGCACGTTGTTCACAACACGGGCGGCTGTGTCTGCGCGCGCCACACGTTCCACGCTGTCGGGTGCATTAGAATTACCAAATTATCGTCTATCAATGTCGAGACGAGCTTTTTCCTACCGAGCGGCAACCTCCTGGAACCACCTCCCACCCACCACCACTAGCTCTGCCGGAACACACGCTGAGTTTCTTCGCCACCTTGCTGCCTAGCGTTTTTGCCTTCTGTCATATCCGTGAAAATTGTGACGCGCTTGATGCTTTGCACTCATCAGTCTACTGCGGCAGTGTTTGTGCATGTGTGCGTGTGTGGGGGGGGGGGGGGAGGGGTTAGGTGTACCATGTCTTTTGTGTGTGTGTGTGTGTGATCGAATCAAATACTAAACCATGCAATGGAATGATTCGAAATACATTGAACTGAACTGAAGTAACCATTGGCAGCAACGATGGCAGCTAATCTTGCGGAACCGAGTACGTTGCCGATATCAGACGTTGTTTTTCAGATGGCAAATATCTGACAGATAAAATAAAGATGATAGCTGCTGCATGGGTGGCTAGCCCAAGTGGTCCAGGAATAATAATTGATCATTGCACAGTCCCCACCAAAGTTATCCGAGTCGTTATCAAACCAGAGACTGAAGTTGTACGGAGTTCCGTCGGTCCAGGTCCACGAGGAAGTGCTGTTGTGTCTCGACAGGCCGATCCAGCTGTATTTCTTGCCCCCATCGCTATATACTGAAACCTCCTCCGCGACGAATGTGTTCTCTTCGGCGTCATGGATGGAAACCATCGTTGCGTCGGGATGAACCGTGGTACACACGTTGGACACGTCATCCCAGTGAAGACCATAGTCGGAGAGCCAGTAGCATTTGTCCCTGTATTGCTTCCATTCTGGGGAAGGGCAGTAGCCAGCGGCGGCGGCGACGGCGGCGGACACCAGCGTCAGGCGCAGAGTCCACTGCAGCATGATGACGGTAATTACGTCACTGCTGACGTCCTGACGTCACTCCTGGGTCTTGGTACCTGTGGGTAAAACAACGGTGGCTACTAAAAGCAAAAACAAGACAAAACCGACAAAGTTGTAAACTTCGATAATCGAACCCACAAAGCCCACATTGTGTAAAATGGGCTTTGGTGTAACTCAAAAAAAAAAAATGGTGTAGTAAAATGTGTGCAGGTTTGTAACTCATGTAGGGGAAGTGGGGGGGGGGGGGAACACCCCCCTAAGCTTTTCGCCAAAATGAGAGAATAAGTCTCTTGGTAGTTATTGTCTTGGTTACAATATTTAAACATTTTCTCACGTGTTTTAGGTAGGTACTTATTTTGCATGCCGCTAAAAGGTGTTCATGCATCACGACTTTTAAAAATACCTTGCATATTTGCCGCCTACAAAATGTGTGGCTAAGACTACGGCCTCCACCGGTGGTAGTCTTAACCCTATTCCGGGCTGGGGGCCTTTAACCTTCCAGGCGGTGGGGGGGGGGCATTTTTTTGCCCCCCCCCTTAGTTTTTTTAAATATATCTCGAGAACCGCTGCGCCGATCGTCACCAAACTTTCAGTACCCTCCCGGGAGCAGCTAGCGCACATGGTGACCAAAAATTTTTTCCAAAGGCTATGATAGGTTGGCCGCTAATGATGTCAGAGTGACGTCATTTTTGCCATTTTCGACCCAAAAAAAGGTTTCTCGGGAAGAGCTGTCAGGCCTACAGCTTTAGAGATACAGAAAAATGTTTCGGGCATAAAAGGTGTGGAATCTAAAGGGCTACAAAACTGCTATTTCGGTTTTTCGAATTTGTTGGATTTTGACCCCCAAAAATAAAAAAATAGATTTTTAGAATATAATAGCCAAAAAAATCCAAAAAGTTTTTTGAATTTCGAAAAAACCGGAATATATGTGATAGTCCCTACTGCCTTCTATCTACATACCAAATTTGAGATCGATACCTCTTTTTTTGGCCAAGTTATAGCGAAAAAACTGTTCAAAATTGATGACGTCAAATTTTCAAACTCAATTTTTAGCAATTCTAGACCTCGTAGCGCAAAACAAAGACCACCATTAGACTCCCCGTGACGAGCTGCATCGAATCGATACCCATTTTATTCAAAAATATCAACTTTGAAATTTGACCTTTTTGACCTGACCTTGACCTGACCTCCACCCGAAAGTGACCTAAACCGTACCTGATGGTCTTATAACCAACACCATTGAGTTGGAAATGAAAAACTGGCCATAAAACATGCATCGCATAACCTTAGTAAAGTTGGGCTCATGTGGTGACCCTTGGTGACCTGACCTGTGACCTGACCTGGTATGACCAGTGACCTCTAATAGCAACATATGTACTAGACAACTGACGCCTTATCGCTGATTTTCGACAAAATGCGTTTTACTCGGTGTTATAGCGCTTTCCCTAGAAGCCCCGTGAACGGTGAAACATTTTATCTTTGACCTGACCTGTGACGTCATCGGTGACCCCGAGGTCAATGAAATTTGGTTTCCCTCGACAAATATGACAGGGCTATCGAACGCCGTTTGAATTTTTCGGATCCGTCCAGTAATTTCGGAGATACGGGGGGAGGGGCAAAAAAATGCCCCCCCCCCCACCGCGCGGAAGGTGGCTGGTAGGCCCACCGCCTGCCGGGTTAAGGTCCCCCCCCCTTCAGGTTTTTCTTGTGCAATTGCTAAACGCCGCAATACTGAAAGCTCATACTCGGTGACTTTTCTTAAACATTCATTGCGCACATTTTGACAAAAAAAGTTACCGGGTCAGGTCAGGTCAGGTCACCAGAGGCGGTTTGTTGACCCCACCTCAGAAAAGTTTGCAATCACGCCAGAGCTAGAGTTTTTGACTGATCAGTTTCTTCTCTTCAGGCTTTAGTTAGGGTACCAGTATAGGCAATTTCTATATCTCAGAATTTTTATATCTGTGACCTGAGGTCAGGCCAGACTCGTGACCTTTACATTGCAAGCCTATGGGAAAATATTGAAATGCCTCCTGCTTCGTGTCAAAACCACACAATTCTTTCAGTATTATGGAAGATTATCTCATCGGTGATGATCCTGGTGCCGCTTATTGACAGGGGCACCGGGAAAGGTCATCTAAGGTCATGTCACGTCATAAATCGTTTTTTGTCAATAAACCACGACATGATGGTGCTCAAGACTTGTAAATGGTACCAAACTGCTCGCCTGGTCAAGGCGCGTCGTTTGGTATGCAGCATGACCATACCCCACAACCTCATTGGTGATCTGACCTTGACCTCGGGTCAAATTTCAAATTGACCTGTGAAGGTCATCGCATACTTATTTCGCATTGCCTCGACGAGAGCAACAAAAAATGTATTAATTTTATGTCTCTATGTTTCTTAGTTCAAAAGTTATAAGTTGTATAAGTAATTAGTTCCTTAGTTGTATTACCCTTTATAAAAATCAAAACGTCCGTAGGTGCATCTGTTTGTCGTATTAACTTTTGGAGGGGGTGGGTTCGGTGGTTTGCACGTGGCAGGCGCATCTTTGCCGCATGTTGGGCCGCGGCCGGCGCCGAGCAGAGGGCACGCGCCTTAGACTGACTTCTTCGCTTGCAAAACTGAGCGAAAAGCATCAGAGCCGGGAGGTCATTGGCCTTTGGCAATGAACACCGGCGCAGGGCACCGCCCGCTTAGAGGCATTGCCAAATTTATTCTTGCAATAACTCAGCCGCTACTGGGCCGATTTCAATGAAACTTGATTTATATTACGCTGCGCGTAATGCTGGACACCTAGGGTGCGTTCGGAGAGGCAGATTCCCGGGGAATATTCCACGCCGGCATGAAATTTCCGCCGAATGTGCCGTTCGGAGAGCGATTCCCGGGGAAAGTTCCGCGGAACGAACGCGAAAAGCGCGGAATCTAAAAAGCATCTCACGCGTCGTTCCCGTGAAGATGGCGGCGCCCATCGGTATGCTCGAGTGAGTATATTATTGAATATAAATGGATATTTCTTGCGTTTGTTTCCACCCTGATCAGTTTCATTGCAAATCCAACAATTGATAATGCTTACTCAGTTGTGTGATTGTCCTCTGAAGCAATGAAAACGATAATTTGAAGTGTTGTGTTGTGTGTGTTTGGGATGGGGGGGGGGGCACAGTACAGATGGGACTTTTTGAAAATAATTGTGATTTTTCTTAGTTGTTCTTTCTTCAAGAGCTTCATTCTTATTACATCTTGCCATAGATGTAGCGTTCCAAATAACCAAATAACTCAAATAACCCAAACAAAATCCCACGAACTCAACTTGGCGCAGTAGCGCCGATCCTTGAAATTGGCGGTATGGAATGTCCCTCTCCGAACGCAACACGGGGAATTTTCACGATGACGGGGAATATTCCGCGCTCTCCGAACGCACCCCTAGTTACTTATATACAAATCAAAACGTCCGTATGTAAATATGTGTGTATGTATGTAACGCGTCAGTCACGCTTGGCGAGCTATTGCTCCGGAACGGTGCGGGCTACGGGGGTGAAATTTTCGACTTAACCCGCGCGGGGCTGGGGTCTCCAGCCGAACGCGCGGGTCTGGGGGTGGGTAAATTTTACCCCCCCCCTGTTATCTCCCGAACTAATGGTCCGATTTGGAAAATTCAAACGCCAATCGAAAGATCTCATCACGAACAACTAAAAACATGTACTTAATTTAAAGTTTGAGCCTTGAGGTCAAGGTCAAGGTCATGTCAAAGGTACAAATTGCAAGTTTCTACAGTATCGGCCTTGCACCGTAGTTGCCGAAGAATGGACTGAGACTGATTGCCCAAAACGTGTTCTTAGGCTACCAAGACAATATTCGCTGCTTATAATATCATTCAGAGGTCACGGTCAAGGTCAGGTCAGGTCAGGTCAGGTCACCAAAAACAAAATATAGAAAAGGGCATGTGCGACACATGTTTTATGGGTCATTTTATTCATAGAATTCAATAGGCACACTCAATAGGTGATAGGGACCACATCTGGATGAATTTCAGGTCGAGGCCAGGTCAAGGTCAGGTCAAGTGAGGTCAAATTTTGAAGTTGGTTGTTAAGGCCTAAAAAGGTGTCTATCTGATGCAGTTTTTCACGGCGAATCGAATGGTGCTATTTTTGTTTCCGTGCAAGGTCTAGAACTTCCATAAAACTCATTTTTCAAAATTGTTGTGTGTCGTGACGTCATAAAATTTTAAATAACTCCCACATTTTTGAATCGATTCTTCTAAAAATTGGTATGTAGGTGCACATACACCACATCTCTGACATATATTCCGGTTTTTTCGATACACTCAAAATTTTGGATTTTTTAATAATTTTCCCAAAAAAATCAGCTTTTTGAAAATATTTTGGCCAAAATCCAAAATTTTCAAAACACCGAGATAGCCATTTGATAGACAAAGTAGAATTACGTATAACCTTTTTTGTTACGTCTTGATTCCTTTAAAAATGAAGATGTTAGCGGCGTTTGAAATTTTGCCGTTTTTTAGGCGAAAATGGCGAACATGACGTCACTAAAACGTCAATTTCTCAAATATTTTCCGACGGATTTCGCTCAAATTTTTTTGTTTGAGAATAATGAGACTGCAGAGCGGCGACCTGCGATCTGTGGAGAAAACTGACGAATACAAGGGAGGTCTTTGTAAAACGTTACAAGCCTGAGACTAGTAGATTGCTTACAAGTACAGGTTTGCTTCACGTAGACATTACTATGCTAACTAAGATTTGCACTGATTTGACTTAACAAGTACACGGCTCAGCCCTGTTAAATGCAAACATGCGCAGGTCTTTACCTAGTAGCCGCATTATTATAACTAGGAACACAGTCGTTCACACAACAATGACAAAGCAAACTTTGGTAGCTAGTCTAACGAACTACATGTGAGTGGGTTGTAAGAACAACTACCATGACAAACAATAGGGTCGTTCGATGACATGGCAAAGGGTGCGGGGATTTGCGCTAAATAATTTTCCTTGTAAAAGTAACAAACGTTTGTTGAAATGAGTTTACAGATACCACTCACTAA